AGAGTATGTGCAGGGGGCAACCAATCAATGTGTCTCTCCCTTTCCCTTCACTCTCTCTAAAATTCAATGGAAAAATATCCTTGAGTGAAGATTAACAAAAACAAAGTAAATGGATTAAGTAACATTAAAGAGATTATAAGAAAAATATATCCCAAATTTTGTTAGTTGTATAATGGTAATGTTTAAATTATTAACACCTAAGAAATTGGGTGAAGGGTACATATAATATGCTGTAGTATTTTATAGTTTTTTTATATGTATGAGATTATTTCAAATTAAAATATTAAAAAATTAAAAATAAAATATTAATTGAAATGTGTATGCATTACATGAAAAATCTCCTAATTGCTTCTAGCATAATTTATTAAATTGTGCTAAAATTTACAAGGGTTCAATTAAAAAATATCTTAATTCTAAATGATATAATAGAAAATATATAAGAGCACAGTTATAAGCACTTATCTGAAAATAAAAATTTAAAGAAGTGAATTTAAAGAAGGGATTAGCCAAAGAAAATATATGCACAACCCATGGACACAGACAACAGTATGGTGATGGCCAGAGAGAAGTGGGGGGCAAGAGCTGGATAGAGGGGGCAAAAGGGGGGAAATAGGGACATCCTATATAATAATAATAAAAGGCTAATATGCACACTGACTGAACAGCAGAATGACCAGTTGCTATGATGTGAACTGGCCACCAGGGGGCAGACGCTCAACACAGGAGCACTGCTCAGCCAGAAGCCGGGCTCACGGCTGCGAGCACAGCGATGGTGGCAGAAGCCTCTTCTGCCTCCATGGCAGCACTAAGGATGTCTGACTGATGGCTTAAGCCGGCAGTCAGACATCTCCTGAGGGCTCCCGGACTATGAGAGGATTCAGGCCGGGCTGAGCGACCCCCCTCAGGGGTCCCTCTAGTATATATTGAGGGGCCTCTGGTCTTATCTAATAAAGAGGGAATATGCTAATTGACCTTCATGCCATTGAAAAGATGGTGGCGCCCACAGCCAATAAGGAGGGAATATGCTACTTGACTGCCCCGCCCTCAAGATGGCAGCGCCCACAGCCACAAGATGGCGGCACCCAGTCCCCTTAGCTCCACCAGGGCAGCAGGCATGTGGCAAGGCTGGGCCTGCCCCCAGGTGGCCCAGCTGCTCTGCATGCCTGCCTCTGGAGTCCCCCAGTCCTCTCAGCCCCCCAGCCGCCCAGAGCCAACCCAAGGTGCAGGAAAGCCTCAGATGTTGGCTGCCCAGCCACCCAGGGTCAGCCCGAAGCACAGGCAAGCCTCGGATGGTAGCTGCCTAGCTGCCCAGGGCTGTCTTGAGGCTCAGGTAACCAGGGCCGGCTGAGGTTTGTGCTGCTGGCAGTGGCAGCAGCAGAGGTGTGATGGGGCGTCACCTTCCCTCGATCGCCAGGTCGCCTCCCACCCCTGAGGGCTCCTGGACTGTGAGGGGCAGGCCGGGCTGAGGGACCCCCCTTCCAGTGCATGAATTTTCAAATTATCACAATTTTTATAATCTTATTGTTTACCATTCATTCTTTTTAATAGTTTCTGAAGTTCCTGAACCTCCTGCAATTGGTGCATGGTGTGTGTGTGTGTGTGTGTGTGTGTGTGTGTGTGTGTATGCATGTGCTTGTCAACACTTATCTGGATAAAAGAACCACAGCTTTGGGGTAGAGGGGGGAAGTAGAAGGGAGGGGGGAGGAGGAAGGGGGGAGGGGGAGAAAATAGAGTTGGGATATGAAATCTCTTGCCACGTGAATCCTCAAAAACAAGAGACAATTAGCTGCTTTTCATCATGCAAGAGCAAAAAGCAACATACCCAGTTTTACAAGCTAGCTAAATGATTCTGTGACATTTATGCCTTATGAAAAAATACTGAAAATGCCACCGGTAAGTTTATGTTGCTGCTCAAGTATTAAAGAGAGAATGATACCACTTTTACCACCTATTATTTTAAAGTGTCAATAAGTGATGCAAAAATAATGAGAATAGTTTACTTTTCTAACATCATGAAACTTCTAAATGCCCAAACTGTAGAATTATTTTCCACCCGTGTTAATTTCACAAGAAGACAAAAAATATGTGCAGATCATGGTTAAGAAGGATACCCTGAGTTAGTGTGTAAAAGAATCAAATTGCTGTCCTTTTTAACATTCACTCCAATGGAGTCAGACCATGTAGGATGTAACAAGCTGACATCTACTCTGTTCTTGTCATGTTTGCAATAGAAAACGCTGTTTTGAGTGGTTCTATCTATTTGACTTTACTTGTCCTTTTGTTGGGGGTAGAGAGGCACAATAATATTAGAGTCACAAGTCTTACCCAGAAATTTCTCCAAGCAACTGCTGGGTCACATAAGTGGCACATGTCCCCGGAACTCCAAAATGTGGTTGTCAGAGCTAAGTTCAGAGAGATAAAAGCTGTCGCTGAGAATGACCCCTTATTGTACTTGTGGGAGAGGGAGGTGTATAAATGCCTTTAAAATACCCTGCTATTGTGTCACACAGGCTATGTGAGGTCTGGTTGTTTTGTAGTCTTCATTTAAATGAGAATGAGAGATTTCAAATTCCATCCCATGAACCCATCCCATGAACCCAAAGCCACCACAACCCTGGCAGAAAATCTATTCTTAATTTCACGTGATCAGCTCGATACAGCGTGAGGGATGAAGGGTCAGCCATTCAGTTACACAGCAAAAGAGGAACTGAGATGTTAGATAGGCAATGGTCTCTAACGTTCGTTGCCATAAAAACTCCTCAAGTGGTTGATAATAAAACAGCATGTGCCACCCTCCACAGAAAGTGGAAAACATCTCCATGTTTTCCCTTTTAAAGCTGAACAGAAGAGAACGGTCCAGGTTTGTGGGAAAGGTAGCAGAGCAAACTCATTCCCAGTATCTGTGTCCTGTCCCTAAACCACTCAGCACACACACAGGCTGGGAAGACTCACGGGAACAGAGCACCACGTGGCTCACACAAGCTGTGAGGTCCAGTTCACAGGTTGGAAGCACCACACACAGCCTTCTATGGTTTGCACAGTTTCTGGAACTCCTAGGGTTGCAGAGGTGGTCCATCTGCTTTGCTGCACACATCTTGGCTCCCTCTCAGAGGCCTCCATGAGACCAACTGTTTTGGGTCCATTTTGACCAGTGCAACCCACTAGCATTATGGAAGCCAGGCCTATGTGTGTCCATTGGAATGTAAGCTCCCCTGGACAGGAACTTTCTCTGTCTGGCTCATCGCTCTGTCCCCAGCATGTAAAACACTCTAGCCCAGGGGTGGGCAAACTTTTTGACTCGAGGTCCACAATGGGTTCTTAAACTGGACCGGAGGGCCGGAACAAAAGCATGGATGGAGGGTTTGTGTGAACTAATATAAATTCAAAGTAAACATCATTACATAAAAGGGTACGGTCTTTTTTTTTTTTTAGTTTTATTCATTTCAAACGGGCAGGATCCAGCCCGCGGGCCGTAGTTTGCCCACGGCTGGAGCCCATCGAGGTCCCTAATAAGTGTTGGTAGTTTAATTAACTAGCATGGGTTGAAGGGAAATAAAGGGAGAGGAAGGATGTACATAAATGGAATACGTGGTCAACTGAGCATTGTGCCTTAAGAAATGCTAATAGGCACCACCTCCATAAGCCTAACAAAGGCCTGACATTTCCTTGGTTAAAGTGACCTATTTGGGTTAAGGTGTTGTCTTCAGGAGACTACCAATAGGCAAACCACATTACCTGGTGAACAGAGTTGGCATGGGCCCAGGAAGGGCCATCTTCCAAGAGCAGAAAACTGAAAGGGCCAAAGTATTAATGACTGAAAAAGATGCAGAATTGTAAGCCCCTCCTCTACTCTTAGCCAACTTTTCCCTTCCCTCAGCTCTTCCAGCATTTTCTTTTTCATCTCATTTGGTTTCCAGAGAAGATCTGAGACAAAATCAAGGCTGCCAGAGGTTTGGGGGAGGCTCCAATGTTCACCCCATTCTCAGGCCCCTGCATTGATTTGCAGGTGAATCTGTGCTGCTTGCTAGGGAACACCTTGGTTAGAATGGTGTCATTTCTCCTAATGTATACACAGAAAAGTGATTCTGAGTGATTTTGCTCTAGACTAAAGAAAAAAAAATCAAGAAGAAAGGCAGGTTCTTTCCCCTGGGTATTTTCTGCCTTTTTCTATTTAATTTCTCACCATCAATAAGCACCCACGACACTCACTGGCTTTACGAAAGGCTATCATATAAAATGGATGAGCCTGAAAGAGTGTAGTGTATTCAGGGCTCTTCTCCCCTACTCGAGCACATAAACCACATTTGTAACTGCTGAGAGATAAACACTCCTTTAAAGTTATTTTCCCTTCTGTTTTTATTACAAGCAGAAAACAAACCATGACACTCACCATCCTGTGCTTTGAAATATGAAAGTGAAGGGAAAACTGACTTGGGAAGAGAGAGATGAGGTTCTTTGGAGCAGAGATGAAACAGCAGAGTTGAAAGATTAATGCTCTATAGACAAATTGAAATCTAAAGTGAAAGTTTAGAATAGACAACAGTCATCAAAATGAATGATAAGGGGCAAGCCAGCAGGATGGGAACATTTGAGGCAACAATCTGTTCTGGCTCAACCAGAGAAGATGATTATCTCGCATTTAATGTCTTTCCAACACCGTGAGCAGGCTCTCACTGTCCTACTCAGAGAAAAAAGGCAATGGGGCGATCACAATTTAGCACTATTTTTTACACATAAATTAGTTATCCACATAATTCCAAGTGGGGAAACTTAAAGTTGGCTTTTTCAGTCAATTGTTCAATATCCCCAGGCTTAGAGTAGTTTAAAATAATTTAAAAGCCCAAGGTTTTTCCCAATCCCAAGAGTTTCCCCTTCTCTATTAAGCATATAGTTAGACAAATAATTCCACATCATCGACACTGAAACTAGGAGAACTTATTTTAGTAGAATGTCTTTGTGTAATTTTAAAACATGATTTAAAAATAAACATGTTTTCTTACCTAGAAAATGCCGCCATATTATCAGCCAGGGTTTCCTGGTCGTTTGCTCCAGACCTGTAATAGTCATATATAGACTTCTGAAGAATTGACTTAGCATGTTGTTCATAATCGCTGATACAAACTAGCCGGCTGAACATTTTCACAGGTTATTGCAAGCCCAGGTTGGTTTTATTTATTTCTTTTCTGTGTTGCCTTCTACATCTTGACGATTCTGTTATTTGTCAATTATTAATAGACTTTTTCCAAAGTTCAGATTTAGTTCTCTGGTGTTACAATAAGTGAGCAAACATATGCTTAGACTTTGAAATCCCATTTGAAACTATCAGCCAAAGAAGAGCAACGCCTGTCCTAAGCCACAAGCATTGAGGCTGGAGAGGCAGCCATTTCTGTCACACTAAAAAGGCAGAGGAATGCGTTAAAAATCAACAAGGTAGAGGAGTACTTGCATGAAACTGCGCTTGGCATGGCTCAGTTCTGCCTAAGGGGGCTTCTTCCGCACAGTGTGTGCCTTGCTCCTCACTTGGTACCCAGAATAGGCGGTCATTCATTTTCCTTCCACATGAGGACCATGCACTTACCATGTGGCAAAGAGCTTATGCATCCAGTACACACAGATGTCTACACAATCCGAGATTTGGCTGATTATAAACATTTGGCTTTAAGAAGGAACATTAAGGTCAAACACGTAGCTAATTCTTATAAAGTCTTATCTCGCTCTGGAGCGGTTGTAAGGAGGGAGGTGCCATTCCTAAGGACCCGGTGGTTTCAGTCTAGAATTTCAGTCAGTCATGGAATACCTGGAGAACTCTCGCACTGGTCAGACATGATTCACACAGCAATGGCTTTGACATCAGTCAGTCCTGGGTCTCAATCTAGGAGCCTCAGCTGAAAGCTGGCAGTTCAGCAGCTGACGTCCATCTGCAGGCAAACTGACCCCTGGCAACGCAAGAAACGTTCAAACCTGTAGAGCAATGGTTCTCAACCTTGGCTGCACATCAGAATCACCTGGGAATCTTTTTAAAATCCTGATTTCTGGGCCTCATCCTCTGGAAATCCTGTTTTTTTGTTACTAATGTTGTGGCCCCACCGCAGCAACACTTTGACAAGGTGGAGAGCAAAGATTTTTTTTGTTAAGAGGCCTGGATTTTAAAACTAAATGAATTCCATTCTCCTTCTGTTTACTGCAACCCAACAGCTGATTTGGATGGAGTACCTCATTAAGGATACACTAACACAGTGGTTCTCAACCTTGGCTGAACATCCTCCGAAAATTCTGTTTCTTTGTTATGGGTTGGGGCCACAACATTAGTAACAAAGAAACAGAATTTCCGGAGGATGAGGCCCAGAAATCAGGATTTTAAAAAGATTCCCAGGTGATTCTGATGTGCAGCCAAGGTTGAGAACCACTGCACTAACATATAGTCCCCACATTGCTTAATTAACCTCTTAGTGGAGAGAACTAAAAGCAGCGGTTGGAATTTAGAACAGTTTTTGTTAATTGCACATGTAAACACCTCACATTGTTTCAGAGACAATACCTTCTGCGAAACTCCCCTCTAGGCCTCAGTGAAGTTGAAACCGCAGAACCAGCTCAACATGGTCCTATGCTGTTTCGAACAAGATAGCGAGTTGCCTTTCGGAGACAACGGACCAAAACCGCCAGGCGTGCAACCAGAGCACGCGCAGAGAGAACTTGGACCGCCAGCTGCACTCGGAACCAAAATGGCACCTCCCACTCCCCAGAACCAAAGGACCAGGACAGGACCCGAACGTGAACACGGGAAATCTTTCAAAGGAAAGGGTCCCTTGTGCAGGAAGATCGGGGGACTGAAGCCCTTTAAGCATATTTTACCTTAAAGGGCCAACTTCCAAGCTTCTCCAGTCAAAACCTGCATGGCCAGCGCATCCGCATACCAGCCGGTTCCCCCAACCGCTAACCCTCAATCTTGGCCTTTAAAAACCCTGGATTCGCCCTAGGGTTTGGCTCGGTGGATAGAGCATCGGCCTGCAGGCTGAAGGGTCCCGGGTTCCATTCCTGTCAAGGCACATGCCCAGTAGGGGGTGCGCAGGAGGCAGGCAATCAATGATTCTCTGGCATCATTGATGTTTCTATCTCTTTCTCCCTCTCCCTTCCTCTCTGAAATATATTTAAAAACCAAACAAACAAAATCCCTTGATTCAATGACTTTGGGGAGTTTGGGTTTTAAGCGATAGCTTCCTGTTCTCCTTGGTTGGTGCCCTGCAAATGTGCATGGGCTGAGAAGACCTTCATTCTGTTTGGTTCGGCTCAATAACAAAATGAGATGCGGAGGACATAACAAGTCCAGGCCTTGTTCCAAACCACTAAAGTCTGCATTTGCCAGCCACCACCCCCCTCCAACCCCACCCCCACTCCCCCCACCACCACCACCACAGCCCCTCCATCCACCAATTTCGGAAGCAGGCTGTCTGAGAATGCCAATGCAGCCAATGCAATGGCATCTGCTGGATTCGAACACTCCCCTTCCCCGCGGCCAAAAGAACGGATTGTTTTACACTAGACTTAATAAAACCCTAATTCATGCCCAATCCTACCTAATATCCCAATAAGGTGCTTCACCATATGCACATCCTTTGGATATTTTTTAAACCTCGTAACTCTTCCCCTGCCTTCATCCTAAGGGAAACTCAAGTGTGAGCCAGAATGAAGCAGTGAGCACTCCACATCCTTAACGGACCTTCACTCTCATTTGTCTTAAGATGTAATTCGGAATAGCACTCGGAGAAGGTCTTCTTTTCTGTTTTGATCCTTTTCAGAGGCTTTTCTTTTTCAATGAGATGCAGGGTTGGTAGAATCTTAGTCATCTCCACCATTCTAGGCACTAGAAGGGGCTGTTTAAAACATGGCAAGTGTTGTGCCCAGATTTCAAGGTTCCCAGGACCCCCAGGGAGCCCGTCAGTCCGATGCAAAAGCAAAGAGTCCTTCATTTCGAACTAGTTCGGCTCCCCGACCACACTCACTGATGCAACGGTAGCCCAGTGGCCGAGAGAGCGAGGCCTGATGGGATTGTGGGTTTTATAGTAAGGGCAGGGGAGGGGACTGTGGGCCCCACCGATTGGCCAGGCGCGAGTCGGGTCTTGTTACACAGGATGTGGTCATCTCTCTGTCGCACACATCCCTTGACTGTCATTGGTTAGTTTAAAGAAATCCTGGGCGTGGCCAGCAGGGGCCTGGGCTTCCGGGAAGAAGGCACTCTCCTGAGCACATGGCGGCCGCCCCAAAACTGGAGGACCCAGGGCAAGATGGAGGGCGCCCCCCCCCAGGGCGAGCTGAGCCCGGGCTCCAGGGGCCAGTCCGGTTGCTGGGGGTCCAGCAGATCGACCAGTTCCAGCCCAGACAGGAAGTCCACGTCCTCCATCTCGTTCCCGGGGGCGCCGGCGATCGCCTCCTCCTCCATCTCCTCGGGCAAGGGCACACGCCCCGCCCTGCCTCCGCTGCTGCTGCGTGGGTCCGGTCCGGGGGCGGTGGGCGGGTGGCAGCCTGCGCCGGGCTCCTGCAGTGGGCTGGGGAGTCGGTGCCCGAGGCTGCCAGCAGCGTGGTCAGGCCCCACGACGACTCGCCCTTTCAGCAAGCACCGAAGTCTAAACCACCGGGATATCCCAGACAGCCACAGAGAGCGCCTCTTACAGGGGAAAACTTATTTCAGTGTGGCTTTACTTTTCACTTTCGTGATAACTAATGACTTTGATCACCTTTTAATATGTTTACTGGCCTTTTAATTTTCCACTTTTAGAAATGCTCGCTCATGTCCTTGGCCATTTTTTGTATTTGATTTTTTGTTGTTATTTACTGGCAGAGTTGTGATTTTTTTTACAGATACTTTGTGGTTATACATGTATAAGGCACATTTTTACTAACTTCTTGACTTTTGCTCACATACAAATAATGACAATGTCAGCCTCAAAGCTGCAGGATTAAAAGCATGTGGTTAGATATTCTCCATTTTCTTTTCTTTTCTTTCTTTTCCTTCCTTTCTCAGTCTCTTTCTTTTTCTCTCCCTCCCTCTCCCCCTTCCTTTCTTTCTCTTTGTTTTTATCTTTAATTTAGTTTCCTTTTCCTTGGTCATCTTCCTCTTTCCTTTCCTTTCCTTTCCTTTCCTTTCCTTTCCTTTCCTTTCCTTTCCTTTCCTTTCCTTTCCTTTTCCTTCTCCTCCTCTTATTTTCTTTTCTTCCCCCTCCTGTTCTAAATAGAACCAAGGCCTGGCCAGCAAGTTGCCTCTCGCTAGGTGGTTCACCCACTGAATGTGTCCCCAGCCCCCCCACCCCCACCCCCTCCCCGAGCTCTTGGCTTTAGGCTGGGATGAAAGGGCCTGCAAGTGTTACAGACTTCTGAAAGGCCCCCTCTTTCATGCTGTGCCACAGGGCAGGATTTTGCAAGCAATCTCCTGGGAGTGTCCTGAAGATCTTGATGAGGGGTGCAAGGAGTTTACTTGTGTTTCCCCAGGATCTTGAGTTAACATCCTTTTGGGGATCCCCCTTGAAAATGATATGGTTTGCCTTCTGTTCCCCCCAAGGCCCCCAGGGCTATTAAAATAGAGCTCCAATACAGTGTGCAGAACATGCCCTTTAGGGGGGCAAGAACTTTAGGACTCTGCCTACTGCTCTGCTCTCCTGCTCTCCCCTGGTATTTGGCCTGTTTATTCCATACTGTTTTAGGAACATTTTGATGCCTTTTGAAATATACTGTATGTGTTATACTTAAAATAGCTATAAACTACTTCAGCAGGATGATTTGAATTGACGTATTTTAGATTACTCAGTATGAATATAGGTGACTAATCACTGGACCACTAACGACTGGTCATGAATTAGTGATTCAGTTTTGTTTTATCCTACTACCCCAGACTCAGTATGTGGCAATAGGGATTTTCCTTGCAGAAAGGTATACTTCCTCCCACTGTCCTTTCACTGGTCATGTGGTCCTTCAGTTTCCCATCCTTTATAATGAAGAGGTAATACGCAAATTAACCCTCACACCCTCACAAGATGGCTGACTATGACCAGGCCAGCAGGGGGGTTAGTGAGGGACAACCAAACAACTGAACAAGCAGGCTGCGTGGGGCGACCAGGCTGGCAGGGGGGATGTGAGGGACGACCAGGTTAGCAGGGGGGCAGTTGGGGGCAACCAGGCCAGCAGATGGGGCAGTTAAGGGCGACCAGGCCAGCAGA